CGCTGCCCTGAAATAAAATTCTTTATGGTCTTTTCCTTATACTCATAGCTGTTTCTTTGGGTAGCTGTTAGTGGAAACAAAGGCCAAGACATTGCTAACATCCTTTGTTGATTATAATAGAAACACCTCACTGCTTCAAAAAGTCTGGAAAAGATGATAGGAACAACCATAACAGAATAGTCAGACTGACGATTTCTGAGCATCTGACATGCATTCTTTCACTGTCACTGATTTATGTGAAGTCTGACCTTCAAGGACTGGACAAATGAGCAAACCATCTCAGGGACACTTTCCATGTTAAATTAGAAGCCTTCCACTGCAGTGATAGAAAAACAATGTGTCCTAAGAAATATTGTGGTGGTGTAGATGAAACACAGGGTTGGAAATGGGCGGGCAATCCCGCTGCCAGCACCAGCAGGTCATTATACCAGCAGGGTGACCTTACTTCTTCAGTGAACCTCCTGAAGTCTTCACCTGCCACTTGAATATAATTCCTTTCTCCTCTAACTGGCACATTTTGTTCAGTTCATCCCCTGGGAGAAAGCCGCCCTTTCCAAGGCCAAGGAATGACTGTTGATTCACTTAAGTGAGGGTTGTCGTTCCCTCGCCCACAACAGATTTAGAAGTATGAGAACACAACGTAACTCATGTTGTTTTTGACAGTCTTATGTGAAATAAAGCTTCTTGCAGCCAAAAGCATTATGGCCAGTTCACTGGCTATGACATTACGAATAGTAAAACTTCCTTTTTTCAAGTTCATTTCTGGAGATTGCTAGGCTATCCTGTACTGCCCACTATTTATCCTGGAGCCCCAAATAGAGCATAAGGGTCTCAGAGACAGAATCTGCCACAAGCATGTGACCAGAGTGTCTTGATCAGTACCTTTAAGAAAGCAGACATGTGAGGGTGTGTACCTCCTCCAACCAACTGGAACAGAAGCCAAAAATTCATAGTGAAAAAACTAAATCAATCCCCACCTAAAGGCTGCGAGCAGGGAAAAGCGGTTCTCTCCGGTTGGGGATAAACCACCTGCTCTTATCTCCGGTTAGGGAGAAGAACCGCCCGGGGAGCATTTTTTGGTACTACAGGTTTCCCAGCCCTGTCCACACTTAACTTTAAGACGTTAGAGGCGCTAAGTGATTCTATATTATAAGCACCTGAGAGATGTGGCGGGAGACAGAATAAAATAGGCTGAATTTGGAACAACTGGGAATTGAGACTGGGAGAAATGAATTAGGGAATAGCTGCTATGTTAAAACACGTTAGTGACTAAAACACTCAGGTGGATCTGGGGCCCACATTTGCAGACTGTTCCTCTTCTTTCCTGTGTCCCAAGAATATTCATATTTTCACTTAACACAACCACCCGCAATCCCCTCCCCCTTTTTATCCAGAGGCCTTGACAGTCATCCACTTTGTCCTAACGGAAGGTCAAAAGTGCCAACTCATTCCCTTAGTGTTGACTTTGTATTTTCCAAACAAAACGCACATGTAAAAGCAGCCATTTGTCTCTGTCATGTCCCACTGTTTACAGTCAAAATTCAACCCACTCCTTCACAAAGCTGCAGCCTCCTCCCTCCAGCTTCCACCATGCAAGTACCTCAGGTAGAGTCTCAGGATCTCAGGGCACACACTGTAGGTGGAAACTCAGCCTAGAGCCAATCAACGCAAAGGTCCGCGCCGAGGAACGCACAGCCAGCACGTCCCAGCGTAAACGCGACCCCGGGTCCCCGAGCGCGCCGCCTTCCCACGCAGCCGGGGTGCGCACGGACCGCCACTCTGCAGGGTTCCGCAGGCTTACCTGTAGCATGTGGTGAGCTCGCCTGAAGCCTTCAGACAAGGGTACTTGGTCGTCGCGATTTTATTTTCTGAACAGATTTCTCTACAAAAAGGTAGCAGAGGAAATGTGTGACTGTTGGCGGTGGGGCGGAGGCGGCGCGCGCGCTGGGGAACCTCTAGCGCTCGCGGAGCGCGGGGCAGGCGGTGGTCCCTGAGCCGTCCTCTGACTGGACTCCAGAAACCGGGACACGCCAGGCGAGGGTCACAAAGGAGCGAGCCGAGCCCCAGGAGGAAAAGGAGAAAGCTAAGAAAGCGGGGCCCTCCAGCCATGCCGGCCGGTGTGGCACGGGAGGGGGCAGGAACGCGGGGCGCAGGACAGTCTTCCAGAACCCCGACCCAGAGATAGCAGAAGCCCAGGCTGAGGGCGCAGAGGGTGGTATCAAGAGCAGAGTTAGGTGTCACCCTGGACAGCTGAACGCCTTGCCCCTGGCCCGAGGAGCGAGTGCGTGCAGAACGCCTTGGGAGAGGACGGTGAGGGGACCGCCCGCACCCGCGACCTGGGCGCGCACCAAGCAGGAGCTCGCCCTCCGCTGGGGCTGGCAGCGCTTACCTGTCGGTGTCCTCGGGCTCCTCTCGGTAGGTCCACGAGTGTCCCAGCGCCAGGAGCAGCAGCAGCGGACCCAGGCTCCTGCCCAGTTGCCCCCTAGCTGCTCCTCCCCGGCTCGGAGGAGGCGGCGGCACCATCAGGGAAGGTCCCTGCTTCCTCCCGGCTCCTTCCCGGTACACGAGCTCTGTCCCAGCCCGGCGTCCTGCTCTTCCGTGGTCGCCGCTGTCCCTCTTCCCGGCAGGGGGCGCCGGAGAGCAGGGGCGTTTGCACCACCTGCACAAGGCACCGGGGCTGGGATATCCCGGAGCTGTGGGGGGTCAGGCTAGGCGTTGGGGTGCCGTATGCTAACTCAGAGCCTGGTAAATCGGGTGCTTGCGGTGTCAGATTGTCTCGTCGGAACGTTCACGTCCGATTATCAGACTTGCTGGACTAGGCTTGGAGCTGCGCCCTTTCCTCTCCCTCCTTCCTTCTCTGGGGGAAGAAGCGCAGGGTGGAGAAGGCAGGCGGCTGTTTGCATTTTGTACCAGGGTCGCACGACCAGGAGGAGGAGGAGCCGATTCTCACCCGGGAAAAGGGGAGGAGGAGAAAGGTTAATAAGCTTCCTTCCTGTTGACAGTTGGTTGCTTAAGCCCAGGGTCAGGCCAACGTTTCCCTCCCTGCCTTAAGGACCTAGGCTTGTTTCTATCTTTTCTCCTAGCAGGAGGAAGAGGGAGTTGAAAGGCTATAATGAGTCTGCAAATTGCCTTATTTCAAACCTGAAATAGCCTTGTTTATAAAGTTCAGTCAATCTTCATTAAAAACCCTTATGAGAAAATCCTCAGGTCGTTTCATTTTTTGATGAGCTAGGCTGCTGTTTTCTTCATAACTCAAGCTCTGAACAAATAAAGAACTCTCATTGGGTCTTTTCTGGAAACCTTGTCTTAAAGCCTGTTGCCCGGGTAGTTTCCACGCCACACACAACTTCAGAGCTGGGAATGCCTATCTGATCAGGAGATTCCTAGAGGGAAGGGGCATTCATCACGGACCCTGCCTGAAAACGACCCTAATAGCAATTCATATAAGTCACCATCTTAACACTTTGTGGCACATCCAAAGTTTGTCAGAGAAGCTTGTGACATAGCCATGGACTGCAGTGCCAAGCAAGTGGTCGTGGCCCACAAATAAATTGAAAAAGCAAGAGATTTTAATGCCTAAACTCTAACTAACGTGTGTTTCTGTGTTTCACAGAACTGTAGCTTGTTCACAAGTTACCAATGTGCAAATAGGTTAGGTAAGCAGGTGTTTTGATTCAACAAATATGCCAGTCACCTGAGAAATACCCCACACATCACATACACGTCGAGATTTTTAATCGTAGTGACATCCTGGCTCCTCTGTGAAATGTAATGGCTTTTCCAAAGATTTTTCCACATTCATGATTTTGATTTTCACAACATCCCTTTAACCTACGTGTCTGATTTCTTAGATTGGTGAGGTCGAGTTTCTCCTACAAAACTGACAGATGAAAAACTATACACTTGGCTCGGCGCCTATAGCTCAACCCGCTAAGGCGCCAGCCACGTACACCTAAGGTGGTGGGTTCGAATCCCCAGCCCAGACCCGCCAAACAACAATGACGGCTGCAACCAAAAAATAGCCGGGCGTTGTGGCGGGCGCCTGTGGTCCCAGCTACTTGGGAGGCGGAGGCAGGAGACTCGCTTGAGCCCAGGAGTTGGAGGTTGCTGTGAGCTGTAATGCCACGGCACTCTGCCCAGGGGTACAGCTTGAGGCTCTGTCTCAAAAAAAAAAAAAAAACAATACACTTGAGATTAAAATACAATACTGCTAGTTAACCCAAACAAATTAATTTTTACATAATTCAGAGGACATTTCAGAAACTTGCAGAACTGGAGATTGACCATCATGGGGTCAGGAAACCCAGGCTACGTGGTTTCCTAGGTGAGTGGCATGAGGCAAGTTACTTTCTAGCTCTGTTTTCTCATCTGTAAAATGGAGAAATCTCCTGTTTAAGTTTTTATGAGTATTAAATAAGGTAATGCATATTAAACATGTTGCACAGTGCCTGGCATATGTGGAATGTGCAGCAAACATTATTACTTGTAACAGATTGTATCACACAGATCTTTGTTTTAGCTCCCTAGCTTTTTACTTTCTAAATAAGAGCCTATCTCACTATTGTCTAGGTTCCTAAGGAGAGACCTTTCTAATCCCATGACAAACCCATCCTAGATCTTATAAAAATGGTTTCCCTTTAAATTGTGCCATAGAAGTGTCTCCATCTTGTATAGAAAGGGCCATTCTGCAGGGGGCTCAATTTTTATTTTCTTACCAATTACACTATTTTGATAATTTGCTATCTGTTGTTTTATCTTTACTCTTTTTTTTTTTTTTACTATCACATGGTTGATGGCAGCTCTACAAATAGTCGAGCATGGTACAGGAGATTAATTATCCACTTCCTTAAATGGTTGCTAAGCCACATGTGTGGATGAACAGCTTTTCTGTTGACAAATGTCTGTAAAATGGTGCAAGCCATGTCCATCAGATGCAGCCCGGTGGCAGACTATTGACATCAGAGCCAATTTTGCCACCTTATTTTCAACCCCCTGTGCTGAGTATCTTAGAGAATGAAGGGTTAGAGAAGGTGTACAGGCCCAACAAACAGCCTAGATTTGCCGGGGGAGGGGGGTGCCGGAGAAAGGTACTCAGAGCATTTCTCCAAGAGGTGAGCTAGAGCTGAAACTCCTTGAACTTAAACCTTTGCCTGAAGGCCTGGAATTTCAGCCCACTGGCAGCTACTGACAACCTGAAGTCTAGTGTGGAGCTGGGGAAGGAGATGTGGATGGCCTTATAAGGATCCCAGTCCCTGGAAGTTAAACACTCCTATAAAAGACAAAACCTGCATTTGCTCAGGCTGCAGCCTGCATAGGAACTGTCAGTGAGGTTGCGGTGTGGGGTAGGAACCTCAAGAGTGTTGGGTTTTCCTTTCTCATACCCTCACTCCCTCTCAGGCCTCCCATCACCCCAGACCTGCCCCATCTCCTGAGCTACAAAACACTAGCATGCGAGAACTTTCCCCCTGCCTCCTTCATGGGGGTGTTACAAAGATTGATGATAAGAATCTAGGGAAAGGCTCCCTGTGATTATTTCTTTTCAGCGAAGCCCTCTCTGCAAAGCTTTCTATATAGACATGTCAGCTTCCCTGAAACAAACCAGAGAGGGAATAGTTATACAATTTACCGTGTCCGGGGACATGAGGCTGTGCCTGGGGCTCCTTAGTGCAGGCTGGGCTGTAGGTTAGATTCCCTCTAGACCAGGTATTATTAAGCAGAACTGCTGAGTGTTGTCTGGGGGCAGGGGCCATTAAGGGGTGACTTGCGGGAGAATAGAGAAAGTAAAAACAAGTTGAAACTAGGCCACGGGGCAGATGCCCTTCTAAATGGCACCAGTCAACTCTCCTACTGAGATTTAAGGGACTCTTTTGCAAAAAGTCAGCATAGTATTAGAAACGAAAGAGCACTATGAAAGATGAGTTACTATAAAGGGCAGACCATTACCAATTTAGACAATTCATCTCACCAACGTCTGTTTAAACTTTTTCATATAGAAATAATGTATGGCGGCCAGCAAAATATATTTTATAGTATATCTATATAGTACAGGGAACATTAGATAAAACAATTAAAGCAAAGCAAAAATCAGGATTTAATAATAAAATAAAGCTTAGGTAACGTGAATTGGCAGGACTGTTTAAGCAGAAAGTCCTTGCTGCATTTAAGGCAGATCACAAATCAGTTCTCAAATTCTCAGAAGTCAATTCCAGATAATTGCATGATCAGTTCCAAGGTTCAAGGTAACTATAAAGGAAAAGGTACCTACAAATTGCTTACAAAAAAGTGAAAGATTATTCCCCCTGGTCTCCCTGAAATATAGCAATGGTTTCCTAACTATAAGGTAGAGTCTTTTGGATAGAAACAAGACTCAACTTTTGGATCAAAACAAGATTCAACAAGTGTAAGTTCACAGTGTATAGATAGACCTATGCTAAGATATCCCTCAAACAGGCTGCCTGTTTCCTTCAGCTTCAGTTTTGATTGACGTGGGGCCAGGTCTGCTTAGAGAATTAGGGTTAAGTCAAGAGGTGTCAAAGTGCACCAGTCTCTAAGCCATTGTGGGAGACTGCTTAAGGCAACAAGAATCCAAATTGTTTTTAATACATACATGGTTCTTAAAGCCCTGGTTTGGGAGTAAAGTTATCTTTGCACCTAGCCTACTTTAGTTGTAACTTGCACACATTCTGAAAGTGTACTGAAGCTGTGCGCCTCTGGCATTTTTTCCCAAGGCAGGAAGAAATGTTTGATTCCTTTGTAAGAGTCACAATTTTTGCTCAACTTTGAAATAAAAGCACTTTTTTTTTTTTGAGACAGTCTCACTCTGTCACCCTGGGTAGTGTGCCCTGTCCTCACAGCTCACAGCAACCTCAAACCCTTGGGCTCAAGAGATCCTCTTGCCTCAGCCTTCCAAGTAGCTGGGACTACAGGCAGGCACTTGCCACACCTTGCTCGGTTTTTTTCTATTTTAGCAGAGATGGGATCTTACTCTTGGTCACACTGGTCTCAAGCCCCTGAGCTCTGATGATCCAACTGCCTCGGCCTCTCAGAGTGCTAGAATTATAGGCATGAGGCATTGTGCCCAGCCTAAAAGCAATTTTTAAAAATTAGTTAATTTCATGTGTGGGTAAGCCACTGAAAGAAAGGAAAGAACAAACAATTAAAAAAAAAAATGCTGGCTCGGAGCCTATAGCTCAAGAAGCTAAGCTGCCAGACACATACACCGGAGCTGGTGGGTTCAAATCCAGCCCGGGCCTGCCAAACAACAATGACAACTACAACCAAAAAAAATAGCCAGACGTTGTGGCGGGTGCCAATAGTCCCAGCTACTTGGGAGGCAAGAGAATCCCTTAAGCCCAGGAGTTTGAGGTTGCTATGAGCTGTGATGCCATGGCACTCTACCCAGCTTGAGGCTCTGTCTCAAAAAAAAAAAATGCTACTTGATTGAATGTCTCCAAAAATAGTGAAGTCATAGTTGAAAGTTCTAACACACGCATAGACTAGGTTCCAGTCTAGGGCTTCTCCAAAAGCAGGATCTCACAGAAACAGTAGGAATTCCTAGTCTCCTTGACCCGTCAGAGCTGTACGATCAAACCTGGGGCTTCAGGGTAGAGAAGTATGTTCTAGCACTCAACTCAGGAGCTCCTTTTGTGAAAAATAGAGATGCATTTGGGATGGCCCCTATCTCTTGCTGTCCCTGCAAAGATGAACAACAAAGGCGAAGAGGCCAGCAGCAAAGGCGGGGCCGCTGGCCCATGCTGAGAAATCTCTGATCTAGAAAATGGCATTTGAATTATCCCAGGGTTTAGGAGCTGACTCCTTTGCGTGTC